ATTGAAAAAATATAATTTTAATTGTTTTAAAAACGGAATAATATGAAAGTAAATATATATATATTTCAAAGTAAACAATGTAAAATTATTGGCAATATGATTTTCAATTAAAAGTAACTATAAATTCATTATTATGAGCAATATATTATTTTATTGATATATTCTCATAGATTTATTATATGTATTTATGATGTTATAGAAATAAGAACAATTATTAATAAACAAAAAATTATATACGAATGATGTATAAAACAAATATTATAAAGAACAATTAAATATATATATATATATAAACAATTCTATAAACAAAATTATTATTAAATGAGCTTTATCAAGCAAGGAACCTAATAATTATGTAATTTTTAATAATAAATAATGATACATATATACCAAAAGATAAACTTTTATATGTTATTAATGCATATTTACATGATAAAAATAATATAATGTATAATATCATTTACGTAAAATGTCCATATTTTATTTACAGAATGTAAATGATCACTGCAATTTTAATACAATTCAATCAATCATTATAATATAATTGAAATCATGATCATAGATTCGTTCTAATTATTAATATCAAAAAGGAACTATAATATAAAAAAATAAAAAGAACATTTATTTCTAAAAATAAAATTTAAACACTGAACCCTAAACCCTAAAAGCTGAACCATGAAACAAGAAACGTTGAACTTTTAAATAAAGATTCGTATATTTTTTCAAAACCCATAATAACCTCATAAGAAACATAAAAATCTAAACAACTAGGTTTAACACAATGATACATATAATATGAATACTGAGCCTTCACTGTGCCATTTTGTTGTGAACCAATAAATTATATGAATTTCCATTTGTAAGAAATAAATGATTATATATTATTATACATTTATTTTGTAAATTTTTTTATGTAGTAGAGATATGTATAATTCTCATTAATATAATAAATATCTTTGATTAATTTTTTGTGAAATTATATATAATGCTTTTTTCTGCTTTTATAAATGTCTTAATATTACTAGTAAAAAAAATAAAGTAAATGTAGAAACAACACACGGATTATATTAAAAAATAGATCTTATATTTTAGAAATAATACAAAAATTTATTAAAACCTTTATCATAATATTTATGTTT